TTGCAGAGAGAGAAGCGTAGTGGAGTTAATACCTTGCATGGAGGTAGTTAGGGGTATTTATAGCCTCATATACTGACATGAGTCCAGACATGTATGCATCCAATTGGCCCAGTGTTACTACCCATGTGGGTATGTCTCCTTATTTTGGGCTCGTGAGTATACAATTGGGCCTGTTGTATAGGCCCGGATTGGATGTTGGGCCTAATCCCAACATTACTCCCCCTTCAGTGTTTGGTTGACGAACTGGGTTGAGGGTTCCAGTGGTCCAATGGTCGACCTGGAGGGTGGGGAGTGAACATCTTTGGATTTTATAAGCGACCTCACCTATGGCCGAACTGGGCGGCCTGAATTCAGGGCAGCCTGAATTCAGGGCGATCTCATCGGGTGTGCATGCATATACTGATTTCATATCGAGCATGTGTAGGCGAGCTGGTGTCGAAACAATTTTTATGTGTGAGTTCGGTGTTCATTGGCAAGTTCAATGAACTCACAAGGGCGAGCTCGTATAATGAGTTTCCAGTTTCCAAATGAGGTAGATATAGGAAGAGATGAGATCTCTTGGCACGACGTTTGTTACATACAAGGTGCCGCGTGTTATTTAGTGAGCTCGTCTACATTAACGTGAAAGTGAGCAAGCATCAAACAATCTGGACCACAATAGCCTTTCAAAAGTTCTCAAGCAAAGCATTAAGGTTGCCATGCTATTATGAGATTAAGCTAAAATAAAACTGAGAGGATGTGAATACTAAGGCGAGCTGAAGCGTGCGACCTCAATTGTCCTAGTAAAATAGATTGCTGAGGTATGGAACAAATCTGAGGAAATTGGTAGCGACCTGATCCTAGGGATTTTTCAACTTTTAAACTAAAGTAAATCTCTGAGGAGATGCGCTTTGTTACGACCTGATCCTTCAGGATTTTTCAACTTTTCAACTAAAGCAAATCTCTAAGGAGATGTGCTTCAGAGCGTTTGGTATTCTTCTGCTACACAGATATCCTTCTGCCTTC